ATTCGACGTTTGCAGCAGCTTCAACAGTTTACAGATCTTGAACAGAACCCATTCGACGTTTGTAGCTTGCAACAGCTTCAACAATTTACAGATCTTGAACAGAACCCCTTCGACGTTTGCAGCAGCTTCAACAGTTTACAGCAGCTTCAACAAAACCCATTCGACGTTTGCAGCAGCTTTAACAAAACCCGATCCCTCAACGTAGCCCTTTCTCCTCTCTTTAAAAGGTAAGCTCGTTCCATCCATTCGACATTTGCAGTAGCTTGAACAGAACCTGATCCCTCAACGTAGCTTTTTCTCCATGACATACTTTTTAAGTGCCATTTTTTTATTAAATGTTTTTATGTTAGGCTTTCAATTCATGCTAAAAGGTGGTTTAAATAAGAATGCCTTAATTAAATACCTTTATGAATGCCTAAATTAAATACCCTTATGAATATTATGGGGATGCAGATCGAGAACAACAATGAAAGGGGCAAGGTGTTATAGCTATTTGTTAATATTGATATTCTCAATTCTGATTTGTTTGTCAAACACTATCATATTATACTTTTATTTTTGTTGCAAACTTGTGAAAAGCAGTATGTTCTTTGTGAAGTTGCATTTAAATACTGAATTTTGTAAACCAAAAGTCTCTATATTATTAGCAAGAAAGTAATTGAATTTGGGCCACTTCAAGACTTGCACAATACGCTTTATCAGTAGAAAAACTTTTGGATGGTTCATATTATTTAACAAAAAAAAAAGGTCATTGGCTCTATTGTTTTTAGTCATAATCATAATTTGAGCTTCCATATAGTTCATCACTAATTTATTGGGGACTGTTTAATGTGAATACTTTTCTTCTTTATGCATATTAGATCTGTTAGAATATAACCTGACACTTATTTCTAATGAGATTGAGTTAATGTTATATAAATACTAAATAGGCATGTATAATTGTAAAAATTAATAAGAAATATTCATTTTAAGAAATTGATTTTAGAAATTGAAATTATTATCGAAGTAGGTAATCTTAAATTTATTAAAATTCCTACAATATTAGTATATTTTCCCAAAGAATAAAATTTTATACTCTTCCAATAATTTGTTCTCACAACTTGTTTAGCATGTTTCTGGCAATAAAATTTATCGCACATGTTTTTAACAACTTGTTTACATTATTGTTTGATCCTAAAATTATATTATTGTTTTGATTTGTCTTTTTTGTTTTTTGCTATAGGGAACTAAACATGTCATCAACCACACCGGATATCTCTTCTATACCAGTTCAGCCGACAATAAATTCTTTTACTAGTCGAATTGTGTCAGATGATGGTAATGATTCAATGAATGAGAAGCTTTAGATGCCACTAATGGTAACACAGATAAAACACCAGTCATTGATGCCAATGATAGAGAATATGATAATGCTGACCTTGAGAGGTGTGAAGGAAAGTGTAATGAGAAAAGAGGCAAAAGACATCTAGCCTGTTTGGTTAGAATTCAAAGCAAGGTCACTCTTTCTGATGGTTCAAAAAAGAAGAGTGTGTCCATTGCAAGAAGAAGCCTAGCAATAACATACAAGTAAAACGTACAACTTAATTTAAAAAGGCACTTGACAACTTTGGTGTTAAGATGAAAATTTTTTTCTATAATCAACAAACAAATGATCAAACTTTCAAGCCAGTTAAACAATATGTTGGTGATGTACAAGATACTACCCGCTGCTCTCATAAGATTGGCAAGTTTGATATGGGTAAGATGAGAGAAGCAGCTGCACATTGGATAACTTATGCCACGAGCAGTCCTTTTTTGATTTATAGAAGAAGAAGGTTTTTAACATGATGCAAAAACACACTGGGGAATGCCTGAATGGGAAAGTTATCACGTAATACTATTAGAACAAAGATTGGCAATGCAAGCTTTTATGAAGCAGAAAAGAAGAAATTAAAGGCATTGTTGAAGACTGTCAGTAAGATTAGTTTGACAATAGATTTGTGGAAATCAAGTAATCAAAAGATTGAGTACATGATTCTTACAGCACACTTTGTAGATTCTAATTGAAGATTGCAAAAGCGTGTTATTAGCTTTGTTCACATACCTCCTCCTCGTCACGGTGTTGAGATTGCTGATTGTATTTTTAAGTGTCTAAAGGAATGGAGAATTGAAAACAAGGTGTTTACACTTTCTGTGGACAATGCTTCAAGCAATGATGTGGCGATTAGAATTCTTAAAGACATTTTTTCAAGAAATAGGATGTTACTTTGTGGAGGAAAATTATTTCATGTTCGGTGTTGTGCACATATCTTAAATCTCATGGTTCAAGATGGCCTTTCTGAGATTAAGAATGTGATTGGTGATGTTCATGAAAGTGTCAGTTTTATTAATCAAAATGAGCAAGACTTAACTCATTTTTGATATAGTACAGCAGTTACAGTTACCTGATAGAAAACTCATTCTCGATTGTAAAACACGTTGGAATTCGACATTCGAGATGTTGTCGATTGCAATCAAATTTAAAGAAGTGTTTTCGAGACTCAAAGAGCGAGAATCTCATTATGAATGTTGTCCAAGTCATGAAGATTGGGAAAAGGTGGAGAAAGTTTGTGAGATTTTAGAAGTTTTTAATTCAGCCACTAAAATCATCTCTGGAAGTGATTATCCAACTTCAAACCTGTTTCTGAATGAAGTTTATCGTGTGAAAGTGTTATTGGATAAAAGGATGAATGATGAAAATGAATTTGTTCAAGCAATGGTTCGTAAGATGAAGAGTAAATTTGATAAGTATTGGGGAGAATGTAATTTGTTGATGTCTATAGCAGCAATCTTGGATCCAAGGTGCAAAATGAGGGTGATTGAGTTTTGTTTTCCTCGAATGTACCCTGATAGAGAAGTAAAAGAAAATATTGCTAAAGTTCGAGATGCCCTTTATGAGATTTATGATGAATATGCTCGTGAGTATCAATTTGGCAATGAGCATAGTGCTGAAACTCAAGTGCATGATAATGGTATTAGTGGTATGAATATAGAAGCTTCTTCTTCTGGTTGGTTTGAATTTGCAAATTATGTAAAATCAGTTGAAACTACTCAACCACAACAATCTGATTTAGATGTCTACTTAGTTGAGGCTGTTTTATTTGTGAAGGAGATTCCACTAAGTTTCATGCTTTGGAATGGTAGAAAGCGAGCACTTTGAAGTATCGTATTTTATCCAAGATGGCTCGGGATATACTTGCTATTCCTATCACTACAGTGGCTTCAGAAGCTACCTTTAGTGCAGGAGGTAGAGTTATTGATACCTATCGTGCTTCTTTATCTCCTGACACAGTGCAAGCATTACTTTGTGGAAGAGATTGGTGTCAGAATCTTCATGGAGTGAAGAAGAAGAACAAAGTGAGTTTTTTTTTTTATTATTTTGTTATTAGGTGACTATCATTGCTTTAATCTAATTTTTAACTATTATTTTCCTTTACTTTATCTATGTAGAAAGAGAAGAAATCAATTGAGATTGCACTCAAAATTCCCTAAAGTGAGGATATCTAATGTCTTCTATACAGGTATGAAATATTATTATTAAATACTTTTAATTTGTCACAACATTACTAAAGAAAAATAGGTAGTAGCTAGTCTAGATTGAGCTTTTTGCATTATAATTTACGAACCATAGGTTAACTAATGATAGAAACTCATGTTAAGGTAATTGACAAGATACTGTTTATATTTTTTTGCTCTGATTATAAGACAACTGACAAGATAAAATCCATGTTGATGCTAATGTTAAAAATTTAAAGTTATTGATCATTGTAATAATATTACAATCTTTTTCTTGCATGGGTACTTTTATCGTTATTCTTATTGTTAATTATAATTTCTTTGTTTTGTAATTATTCTTTTGTATAGGTTTATTGAAAAGCAATATGAGCCCAATGTTCATTTGAAGACATAATATTGTGAAGGCAGCATATGTATTATTGTTGGTTTGTTGTAACTTATTTGTGAACTTATTTGCTTGGATATTTAATATCTTTCAATTAGGATTTTAATTTCTAAGTTTCATTATGTCTTATATTTGTGTGTTATATTTGAATCATTTAATGAGACTTTTATTTGCTTAAATTTGGTTGTTGTGTAAGTTATTATTATTATTATTGTTGTTGTTATTGTTGTTGTTATCTTGAAAATATAATATTTATTAGGTTTGATAAAAATTAGTTGTAAAAGATCTCGAGCTCGAGCTCGAATAATCGAGTTTTTTTTTCGAGTATAAAAATCGAGCTTTTTTTTATATATTAATCGAGCTTAATCGAGCGAGCTCGAATAGCTCGAATTCGATCACGAATCGAGTTCGAGCTTGAAAAATGAAACCCGATCGAGCTCGAGCCGAGTATCGAGCCCTAAATTGTGAGTCGAGCTCGAGCTCGAGTTTCTCATTATTCGGTTCGGCTCGGCTCGTTTACAGCCCTACAGCTGACAGCCTTAATGCTACACCAAGTTTTGGCCAACACAGCAAGTTTTTACATGTCACTTTTATTATTCTTTATAAAATGCATAAAAATTTTAATTCAAGTTTAATACATGTTATTGTTGTATCAAAGCATTTAATTTAGTTTTTTTTTTTTTTTTTTTTTTTTTTGGTTTCAAGGAGGGGCAAAATCCTATTACAAAGGAAGAAAGGAAAAGCTTGATTCGAAATTAAACCTTTAGGTCTTTCTAAAGATTTTTGTAACTACTAAACGACGAAACGAAAGAAATTTAATTGATATTATTTAATTTAGTAATTGTTATTATTTATTCATCGCTCAAAAAGTAATGTTCGAATCCACAAGTGAATGTATGATGTTACATTTAAATACTCTTAAAATTTCTATAAGCAAGATTGGATTAGATTCTCTATTTTGTTGATATAAAAAATATGAATAACGAATACAACTACATATAGTTCGATGCCAATATACAAAGTGCTGAGCCTTTTCTCCCAAGTGTTAAATTCCCACTTGATGCACAGCTCTGACCACTAATTAGATAACATCATTAACCAGACGCCTATGCCTGTTATAATGTTTCTCCATCACAACTTTTGAAGCTCCTTCAATAGTTTTACGCCAAGTCTGCATTAAAAAAAAAAAAAATTGATTCTACCTGGTGACAGAACCAATATAAGAAAGAACAAGAGAAAACAGAAATACCAATCCAACAATCTCCCTTTTCTTCCCAAAAAAAAAAAAAAAGGAAAAAAGGAAGCTTCAACAATGAATGGAAAAAAAAAAAAGCCATAAAGAAAATGTTGAAAAAGTTTGGTATCTATACAAATTAGATTGATATGAAAACAAGGATAAATTATGAACCGCATTGTTCTTATCTTATCTTAGACAATTAAAAAGTAGTATTAATGAGTCACTATAATTCATATATGTGGAGAAAAGTGGTACTAATGATTATACCGGTGAAGTCAATTATTTCAATTTGATTATTACCACAACAATAATAGATTACTATTATCTATTTACAAAATTGGAGATAAAAGTTTTCGATTTCCATCATTTTCTCGTCCCGCCTCTATGATGGCCATCATCATATCTAAGTCCTATTCCGTAGCTTTAAGACTAGCTATTAGGTTATCCATATTTAAAGTATTATTATATTATAATTAATTTTATCATTTATTTATTTTATTAAATAATATTATATATCATATCGATTAAATTTTAAGTTTTTTTATAATTTTATATTTAAATTGAATTTTTTAATTACAGTTAATTAATTTTAAATTAAATATTTAATATGATATATGATTTATGTGATAATTACATTTATGAATAGTTAATTTGGTTTTAACTCTCAAAATTATAAAATATTATAATTTTTTATGATTTTATATTCATTTTTATATTTATTAAAAAATAATTTTAGATTAAATGTTCATAGTATTTAATCATTTATGTATTACCTCTGCAATATGAGAATGATATTTATTTAAAAAAATTTAAAAACCCACATAATTTGAGTGCTCAAATTAGTTTGTAGATATTGTTATGTTATTTTTAATTTTTTCAATAAATTAATATATTGTATAATTCAAAAACAGTTGAATTCTTAAAAGTTCAAATTTCTTTTCTTTTTTTTTTTTTTTTAAATTTCGCATATGAAGAGTAGTACAAGAATAGTTAAATCTTGAACCCTTACCTTCTCAATGATGCCCAAGAGGGACCTTTTCTTGATTTCCCTAGCAATCCCGAGTTGCCTAATCAATGTGGACCTCCGCGTCGCCACCGGAGGAAGAAGCCATTTCCTCTCCACTAAGCTGCTGCTGCTGCTTCCATTGCCAGAAGGACTCTCACACTGACTATAACCACCCGATTCCCTTCTCCTCGCCCAGCCATTTCTTTTCTTCCGTTTCACCACCACCCTTAACTCCTTCCTAGCTGCACCACCCGTTTTTTCATCATCATCTTCCAGTTGAGCAAACTTCCTCAGCAGCTCATCAGATGATTTTTTAGTCACATGTTGAACTTGAACACTACTAGGATTAGCATTAGCAACAATTTCCATTGTCAAAGAAAGAAGGAGATTTTTTATTTAGATCAGAAAGAGGGAGAGAAATGTGAGCAATGAAGGAGAATATAAATGGTGGGTGGGCAAACATTGTGTGGGAAAATGGAAATGGACCGTTGCGATAAGTGAATAATTTGAATAATTAAGAAGGGTGGCAAAAATATAGCCGTTAGGTTGGGTGGGGGTGGAATAATGAATAATGAATAATGAACGAATAATGTGTAGCGATTGGGTTTGGGTTTGGTATTGGCATGTGACTTTCAATGAAGACAAACAAAATGTATAAGATTATTACATATTACTAAAATAATTCCACTTCGGTCGGATCTCTGTGAAAAATGCGCTCTCCCCATGTTGTTTTCCTGACAAAACATTGTGGGGTGACACAGAAAAATTGGATTTGATAGAAAGGGAATTGAGAGCAAGATTCAACGGGGTTTCGCATGAATAGTTAACTCGGATTTAATTGATTTGATTCATATAATAATATAATAATCTTTTAAACTTCAATAAATTTAAATTTAAATTTAAATGTCAAAATTTATAATCTGTCTTTTTTATTCTTTTTTTTACTCTACGTGGTCTTTCTTATAAAAAAAAACCCGATTATTTATAGATATTTGCTAAAGTTAATTAAAATGTTATTTTAAACAATAATTTTCATTTAACATATTATTCTCATTAAATTGAAAAAAAAAAGGAAATATTTATAATTTATTATCTTCATTTTATGAATATTATGTCAAGCACGTTATTTATAATATAAATTATTTAATACACTGTTAGTGAATTTATTTTTTTAATTTTATAAATGAGATTAAATTTTTTTTTGTATATATGATAATTTCTCTTGCTTATAAAGACTCCGATATTATTTCTCATTTTACTTTAGTAAAAATCCAAGGTTAAAATAGATAACAAAATTATATAATAAGATAAATACAAAAATTTTTTTTAAGGAAAACAATTTAATCATGTTCCTTGAAACAAATAATTCAAAAGAATCTAAACTACTCACAGTAAAAGGGATAACTTGTTAATGATTTGGTCTTGAAATGATGGAGAACATATTTGTTTCATCAACTGTAAGTGAGAATAAACAAAGATTCAGGTTGAATTAGAACTGGGGATGTTTGAATAAAATGAGAAAGTTGAGTTGTCTTAGTAACAGTCTTATTTTTTACTAAATCACCACCTTCTAATAAAGACCATATTAGAAGCCCTTATCCATTGTTTACTGCTTCATTTGGATAGACTCTCGTCCCAAAACGACATGATGATGCGATGAGAAAGGAATGAAACCTACATGAACATACTCTTGAGATTTCCTCTCCTCTTTACATGGATACCCTCCATTAAATCACATATTTCTTGTTCTAGGGCAGTTACAGATTTTTTTTGTGTTCAAACTACTTTAGGATGTGGATTTAAGCAAAGAGTTTGAACATAATTCTTTTTAATATTGTCTCTTATTTTCATACCTCATCGGTTATTACCTTTCTTAAGAGAATGGATGTCCAAAGCTCATCTCATTTCTCTTTTTTGTATTTTAAGTTTAAAAATAACAAATCTATAACAACTCGGACTTAGCCTAGTAGTTGTTATCCTTGTTGAAAAGAACTAAAACAAACAAAAACAAACAAACAAACTCGTATTAGCTGTCAAGTCAAACCCTATAACTCTTCTTTTCTTAAGACTTGATATTAACATAGGACATTAGATTGCAATGTTCAAACATATCAAATGACAATAAAGTAACAATATTAAGAACATAAAATGATGTCAGCATGTTGAACTACCTTGTTAATCATGGAGTCATCCTATCCGTATGTCCTCTCCATCAAAATTTATGTTTAAAGAGAGGACACGTGAAGGAAGATCACACATAAAACACCATATTCTGTTTTACTCATTAGTTTTATGCTTTAATTAACAAAGGGAAGAACAACCATTGTTTCTTTGTTTGATGCAGGTTCCACTGATTTTATCCCATACAAATTGTAATCAATCATAAATAATTCTTAAGTTAGAAAAAGGTCTGCAATGCTAAGTGGTATTTAAACTACATACCATGCTATGAGCTGAATTGAGTCCCATAAGTTAGAGCATGGCATTCAAGGTTTCTTATGTTGAGCTGCAAATAGAAAATTTGAAAATTAGCATCGATGGTGCATGTTACCAGAGAAAGCTTATCATCATGTATTTGAAAGAAATAAGACATAAGCCTGTGTCTTTAAACCTGCAAAAAAATCTACTAACTTTTACTTCTCTGGGTGTAACCAATCAAGTCTATGAGAAAAACTTTACTACATTGTATCATTTCCATTTACTGACCATTTAACAAAGGAAGTAACAAATAAAACCAGCTTTCCAGTTAAAAAAGACAAGCTTCCAGTTAAAAATAAATACCCAAGGAGGAAGCACCTCTAAAATTACAGTGAAAACAGGTTATTATATCTATACTTTTGTCTATTGACAACTCTGGTAACCAAACAAATGGAGCAAAAATAACACATCAAACTGACAGAAAAAAAGTAGCAAAAGTCATGGAAGCTTATTATCTGTTCTTCCCTTTGAACAATCCCACTGTCACTTTCCTTTCTTCTAGGAGGAGGAAGGAAGGGGGGGAGGGAGAGAGAGAGAGGTGGCTATTCAACTTAGTGTTAAGCTCAAGTCATGTTAATAGAGATGCCTGTGAGTCCTGCATTGAATCCAATGACTCATGATTAATACGTTTTTCTTCTTATTTGTTAAGAACTATGGAGGAGTGATTTGAAAGCCAAAACTCCATGAAGAGGTTTTTAGTTGCACATCTATAACACTTTACTAACAAAACTTAAATTAGTTACAACCTCCAACTCAGAGGAAACTTGTGCTAATGTACTTAAACAGAATAATAAAAACAACCCAAATGGAAAGCATGCAACCAGAGAGTAAGTCCAATGGTATTTGACCAACACTTCTCCCTCTCTTAACATTTTCCCTTTTTTTTTCTCTTTTATGGACTCTGACAAAGAGTACTAGAAGTATAACTGTAACTTTTTATCCACATATATTGGGTAGATGACTAGAATATTTCTTGTCTTTTGAACAAGCTAACAAAAGCAAAAGTGCCTGATTATTTATCATTTATTTAGTAGAGAAGGATGACTTTGGATAAAGGACAGCAAGAACAAGATTATACTCTATTTTTTACCATTTTAGAGTAATATTACACTATATAATAGATAGAAGACATTGTTCACCATGTAGGAATGACATAAACCCTTATTTCCACCATGGTAGCTTAGGCCTTAGGTAATGCATAACACAGGCATGCATATCTGCAGACTAATACAAATATGGTAACTTTATTTCCTAGTTTCAACATCTAGGAAGGAGACAAGTGCTCACCACAACAGCAACTCCTTTTGCAGAATCTAGGAATGCAAATAAGTCTTACCAATTTCCTTTCCAATCCTGCATCAGTAAGTTGAGTTTTACTGGCCAGGTAATGAAATAAGTATGCTGCTTTTGCTTTTGCTTGAAATGTAATTTTCAATTGGTACATGCAAGTTTTGTAGTAATCACCTTTTAACAAGCAAGTTTCACATTTTCCTGATTACCAACAAAGTAGACATGAGGACAGCTATCGATTAGGAAGGGATCCCGATCACTGAAAGGATAAGATCCTGTCAGATAAAAAAAGCAGTAAACAATTGACATAACCTCATGAGGACATAAATCTACCAGTTTCTTGATTTCTTGAGAGAATACGTTGTATCACTACAGGTTAGCAGTTTGTTGGGCAGTAACACAACCAGAAAATATATTACGGGTGTCAAGCAAAATTAATTACTAAGAAAAAAAATAATTAGTAAAACAGGTTTTTAATCAGTTATACTTTAAACTAACTTAGCACCAAAAACAATTATTTAATTCATTTTGATCTCAAGATCTGAAACATATTAATGCTGTATCTGAGACAATTTTTTATTATAGAATCAGGGACCTTCTTCCATAAAGTAAGTCCTTTTTACTTTTCTTTTTGAAGAGTGTATAAGTCCCTTTTCCTTTTCTTTTTGAAGAGTGTATAAATCCTTTTTCCTTTTCTTTTTGAAGAGTGAATGACTCACTAATGTGCTGAGCCTCTCACAAAGATGCAAATTGCACTATTTTAAGAACGAAAATATATGAAAATATAAAAGTTTTACCAACAGGTTATGTCTACTGGAATAAAATGAGAAGGAATAGGGCTCATGAGCCAAATTAAATCCAAATATCCAAGTTAAGAAAAGGTCCAATGATTTGTTATCAAGCTAATTTTCTTCCTACCATTCTCAATACGCAAACCCATTATTCTGATGCATAAATATAGAAATCTGATGAAAGGCAACTAGCAGACGTGATTCCTTGTAATCCTTTTAAAAAATTCAACAAAAAGCCATAACAGTGAACATGAGACAAAACAAGGTACAGCTTATAAGGATTACTTAGGCATACTTAAAACATCTCATGTCCTGGAGGATCATGGTTAAGATATATACTGAGATTGAGAAAGAGAGCTCTGCTTGTTAACACTTGAAGACTGAAAATCATATCATGAATAAGCAGAATATTTGCAGCTCTTACAGATCAATCCTTTCATCACAAACGTGTCACTTCATTTTCTCACAGTCAAAGTGACTACACCTTTATTTTATACATGATTGGTGACTTGTTCTATTAATTTCTCTTGTTTAGCACAAACAAAGCAAAAATCAATCCACAAAGCCATCCGTAATTTTCTTAATAAATTAAACAGTAGTATTAATATAAGATGAGGAATGACTATTGCCAACAGACAAGTGACTTCTTTACCGAGTTCTAATGCAACTTTAGAAGTCTAAGAATGTAAAACTTGGGGGGAGGGGGGGGATCAGATCATACTTGATTTGAGCGCCTGCTTAATCTGAGGTGGTAAGCCAGCTTCCAGAACATCTTCAACAAAGAAGTCTCCTGCACTGGTTTCCTTTCCATGCAATGCAACAACGACACCTACGAAATGTATTATTTAAGCTCAAAGTCAACATGCTTCACAAGAATAATGTTAGAATCCATAAATTCAATTAATTGAAGACTATTTTATGAATAAACACTAGGTAGTTGGAAATCACTCAATCAAATGCATTTTCTAGATGGTAGAAGCTTTTATTTAAAATGAAGAAGAAAGTTAAAAAATGCTGAACGAGTAAAACTGAATGCCTTCAAGCGGAAAAAGGATGAGCCAAATTGTTCAAGCTCTCAACTTGCTAAAATACAGAAGCTGAAAAAAATACGAGTGCTATTAATAGTTACATAGTTAAACGGCAACTTGTAAACAAGGTTTTGAAGAAATTAATTGCGATAAATGCGCTCATTTCTAATGGATGGAAAAAAACCAAGTCAATTGCGAATAGAAATTTCTAAAATATAGTCAACTGATTGCAATACAGAACTGTTACATAAACCGAAGGTGAAAGCATAATGCCGTGAAGCTTAACTCTTCCACTTTCATCTTCCAAAACCCAATAATCATCTTGATGCTTAAAATTATGAGGTTTTACAAGAAGGGTAACAGATCTCTGTAAATTATAGAAAGAACTTTTTAAGTCAAATAAAATTGAATTTCCCATCTAAAGTTCAACATACAATACAAAATAAAACCAATGAAATGAATTGCATCCATTAACAATCACAATACCTCCTTGGAGTATTCATCAAGAATGCAAGGTTTGAGTTTCATGTGCTTGTAAAGGATCCCAACAATGATGCATTCTTTGCCTTCTTCTAGCCCTAAAACTGTACAAACCACATGCCAAAAAAAAAAAACTTTTAAACTACTCCATGGAAACTAAAACCTGATTAAACTACTAATTTATTCAAAACACGATTATCTTTTATCTGCAAACATTGCAAGGACTGGCTTGGTTCTTGGTACTTCAAAATTCTATGTGAAAAATGAAACCAATGGAAGCAACAGAATCCCAAATACACAAATGATTTTAATAACAAACTCACCAGAGAAATATAAGCAAATAAAATCTAGAGCATTATCAACATTCAATTTTCTCAAAGAACAAATTTCACCTGGAAAAAGCTTTTGAATGAGAAATCCACCCTTAAAAAAAATTGAAATATGCTATTATCAGACTAGCCCCCCAATGAGTACGAGTATCAATAGTTACTCCTAGCCACAATGCTAGTATTTCAAACATAACCTTCCATGCTAATCACCCTAAACCTCCAAAAAGAATCCAAATTATCATAAAGCAAGCTCACAACCAATTAAAAGCCAAAACCAATACCCTAAAACCCTAAGACACTGCAAATTTCACGTTTCTTTAACGTCAACAGCAGGCAACAAAACAGCCAGAAATGACCAAGACGAAGAACAAAAACAATTGAACAAACACTTCCAACCAATGACCTCGTCAATGCTGCCTACTTCAAAACCAAAATGCATAAAGAAGAAAACAGTGACCATAATTAATTAGACCCCAAAAAACCCAATTTTTAACCCCAGAATTAAATTTAAAAAAAAAAAAAAAACGAAAAGAGAGGTTACCAGGGAGATGGGATTTCCAGTTGGGAACAAGGAAATAAAGCAAAGTTCTCATCATTTAGAGACAAGCAAAGTAAATTTGACTGTACTGTTGGCCTCGTGAACTTCCTTCTGAATCTCCAAATTCTCATCCTACAAACACCCCCCCCCCCAAAAAAAAGGATTAATTTTCTTCAAAATGTAACGAGATTTAAGGATATTACAGGAAAAAAGGAGCTAAAACGGATTGAATGGTGGAAAATAGGTAAAAAAAAAGAAAGGAAATAACTTACTAGTGAGAGGTAAGTAGATTGTTTTCTCGGCAGCAGCTGTTGCAAGTCCACTTCCATGGCGGGGAAAATAAAGATAGCGTCATCAGTCATGAAGACTGAAATTTCTTTGCTTCCCACCAAGACATTTTATAGATCCCCCATAGTAAAAACCTTAATTTTATTTAAAATTATGGCATTTCAAGTGGGGCTGTAGCTCAAACGGTAGAGCGCTCGCTTTGCATGCGAGAGGTACGGGGTTCGATACCCCGCATCTCCATTTTGAACCTTTCTTCTTTTTTTTTACATTGCCAGTTTAATTTTTGCAACAGATTAACTTATTTCTTTTATATATATATATATATATATTTTTTTTTTTTTTTTAACAGAAAACATGCTTTCCGTTTTTTATTTTGAAGCATAAAAAAAGTTCAGTTTCCCCAACGGTCATCAGAGGCACCAAATTTTGACGTAAAAATCACTTTCACACAACTAGAAAGTCTAAAACTTCACTCTTCACTTCACAATAAATAAATAAATAAGAAAAAAAAAAGAAACCCTAAGAAAAAAATCCCATTTCATCTATGGCTTCTCTGCAAGGATCGTTTTCTGCAATTTCCGCAATTTGCTCGACCTTCTCTTCCTCGTCGTCATCGTCTTTGACGGGAGTTTCTTTCGTTAGATTGCCGGAGTATGAACGGAGGAATTCCGGCAACCGGAGAAACCGTCGTAGAATGGCCTGTAGAGCAATGGTTCAGCAAGCGGTACAGGGAGGAGCTCCGGCTACTTATGCTAGAGAGATGGAACGACTTTCTGCTAAGGAATCTCTGCTTCTTGCTGTGAGTTTCTCTTTTTTATTCGACATTTTCTCTAATTTAATTATTGAATTTTAATGGTCATAGAAAGTGCCCAAAAAAAGGAGTGATTTGGAAATTTTGAGGTGATTTTAAGTTTCAGGCCAAATTTTGATTGGAAGAAACAAATTACAAGTAATTGCCTTAACATCACACTTGGCATTTTTTCCAATTAGTCAAAGCTTTTTCAGTTTAGGTGTTCAGATTCTGCCTGGGAATTGCCTTTTCTTGCTATGTGCCAAACATTGGTAAACATTTTCATCTTCTCTATTTTCTGGAGCTGTAAAAATGTTAATCTTGGCTTTCATGTGATTAGGATAATTATTTGGCTTAGTCCTTTTGTTGAATGAGTATAATAGTTACTAGAAGGGAGAACACGAATCAGCAGGATAGTTTTGAAGTTATATATGAGGAAAATTGTAACTGTTAGTCAAACCTTTTTAATTTAGTTTCATTTTCATCTATGACATTTCAATTTAACTATTGTAACATAATATGTCGGGGCTTTATTAGAAGTGTATCAATGGCATCCTTTCTTCAATTAGGCTCTAAGGTTTTGATGGAAATGGTCAATGAAGCAACATGTTGTGTTCCATGTCAATGTGGCTAGTACGAGTTAGAAAAAGAATAGGGTAAATTACACCCATCATCCATGATGTTTCCACAATATTTCATCTTCATTTATTACTTTTCAACAACCTGGATCTTTTAGTCCATTATCCATGATGTTCCAGTAAATAGAAAAACCTGTCCAGCTTGAACTCGTGATATTGTGGTATGAGTAAGGCAATTAAATTTATAAGTTTGGAAAGGTATTTCTTGAAAATTTGAAAGGCATTTGAGTCTAGTGAAAGAAACTGAGAACAATGAGTTGGTTGAAAAAGAAAAAGAGGGAAAACAAAGTAAAATTGGGGCTGTATTAGTGCCAGCAGTGAAGTACTGGAGTCAGTTGGCTGATTCCAGCGACTGGTATGGTGGATAATAAGGAGAAGTAGAGGGATTTAGATTAGTGAAAGTGCAGAGAAAGAGAAAAGAAATGCAAAAAAAAAAAAAAAAAGTGCAGAAAAAAGGGAAAGAAAAAGAAAGGAAGAAAAAGAAGGATAAATAATGTGGCTGAATGGTGCTTATGTGGCTGCAACATCAATGCTTTATTCGGGCATTTATATAAAAAGTTCCATCCTTTTTCCAACAACAATCAAATAATGGACAATGTCAAAGCTCTTATGAGAAGTCATGATGCATTATGTTAAAATTGACAAGAATATAATTTCATAAGAGGTCACGGATCATGGGTGCAATGTACCTATTTTTCACTTCCAATTCTTGTCACATGGGATGCTACTTGTTGTTTATGTGACTATTTGTATAAACTTTCTGAAGTTTGACCAATTAAAGGATGAAATTGACACACATATGAAATACCATGGAGTATTATGTTAAAATTGACCGTCATGGATGATAGGTTTAATTCGTTCTATCCTATCTATATCTTTAATTTTCTCAATTTGTCTATCTGCATATTGTCTATCAGTTATCATTCACTCAGAATATAACACACATAATAAATTTTCTCCTGTTTGTGAATCAAACATATTTTCCTGTAGTTGTTAGTTTTTATTCAATCGTAATTGATTATTCAAACTTCAAGCCAGTACTGCTAGCTTGAGAAAAAGAACTTTTCAGCTTATGAAGCTAGATATTTTAAATGTATTTATGTCAGTTAAAGATTGACAAATCTTATCCATTGATTTGGCCTTTCATCTTTACTTTGTTAAATGTTCTTTCAGTTTAAGGATGCTGGGGGTTTTGAGGCTTTAGTCACGGGAAAGATAACAGATATGCAAAGAATTGATGTGAATGAGAGGATAACTGGTCTTGAGAGGCTCAATCCAACACCAAGGCCCACAACGTAGGTGCTTAGATAAAGAATGAGTTTTTTCATGTTCATCTTTTGCATAAGACTTTTTTTTGTAAATATAACTTTCCAGGTCCCCCTTTTTGGAAGGTTGATGGAACTTTGAGTGGTTTGGATCTGGAAGCCCTGAACTTTTTGCTGCTAGAGTCATATTGGAGTGAGTGTTCTTTGATAGCTGATGATCTCCAATTTTTCTGAATGAAAGGCAGCTGATATTCTGGGTGACCCCTTTGTACTTTGCAGGAGATTCCCTTCAACATTTGCAAATTTTTCAAAAATGGATTTGCTTCTTAAGGATGGATATGCAAAAGTTACAGCACACTTGAAACTGCTTAACTCGGTAAATATTTTCTCAGCAACTATGCTTTCCTACAGTAATGAATGTCGCATGTCAAAAGCATAAGTATGGTCTTCTATGAAGCACTCTGCCTTGAACTTTATATTGATGTTCAGCTATCATCTTTCTTTATTTAATCATACATAGCACTATATTATTGCTTGCATGTATAAGTTAAATGTGAATTAAGTCAAATTACTTTATTAATTCTAGTAAAAACATGTTTTAGCCAACCACGTACTATGAGGCTCCAATTCTTATTTGTTTTCTGTACAACAACACCTACCATGTGCTCCTAGTTCTTGATAGAACTTGAGTATTGAGTAAAACAACAAAAATCTTTCGAAATTCATTGTGCAATGGAAGTGGTGTTGGCCAGCATGCTTTAAAGTGATATAGTAAATCCATGTGGAGAAATTATGCTATATCCTGGACACTATTGCCAATTAAATAGTTTTTTTTCTTGACTATTATGGAAGTGAATAAAGACTATGTTTGTCAAATTAACCAACTGAAGGATGTCATCCCTAGTTTTTAACTGATAGTTGAACATTTTAAACCTTCATTGATTTCATCATTGGATTAATGAGATGAAGTCATTTGAGACAGCACTATTTTCCTGCCGCTTAAAAGTACTTGTATTAATCAAATTGACTTGAACTTCTCTACTAGTAACATTGGCTGTCACTCAACTTTGTTGTTTATGGTTGAAATGTTGCTGTTTAGAAAGGTGGAGTGGGTCTTTATTTGTGTGAGATTTGGAACCATTGGTATTGGGGCCACTAATTAAAGGCTATTGGAATAACAATATATGCCGGCATATTCCTCTTTAAAATTTTTCTCTTTTATTTCTGCTACAGTCAAATTTGAATAACTGGTGAGGATATTGGAATCATTGCCTCTATTTCTTTGTTTTCTGTGATCATCTCAACCTTGGTGCAATGTAAGATTGTTCAAGTAAGATTTGTAGATCATGTGTCAAAGATGTGGAAAGGAGGGTAAGCTTCAACATTCCCTGGATATTATGTGAACCTTTGCGCTGGCTGCCCAATGGAAGTATTCCCTCTGCTAGTTTCTCATTTGTATTCTTTCATGGGCTTGTATTGCTTGCAACTTTACAATTCTTTAATTAAAAAGTGGAACAAGTGTTTTTTAGCATTTGGGTTTTCTGTTTTTAAAGTGCTGGCTGAATTTTTATTGCTAGCTTTAATTAAACAACTATCGCAATGATTAGAGTTAATTAGAATAGCCGCTTTTTTCAACTTTTATTAACTGTATTTTATCTGAGTGCTACGAAAAGCTCTCCTTATTGCACAATTTTCAAGTGATTTAAGATTATCTCTGGTGGAATGCAGATAGAAAGCAACTTTATTCTTTCCACCAGGGTATCTGTTGAGGGACCACAACGAATGAAAGAAGAATATGTTGAGGGGATACTTGAATCACCAACTGTTGTCGAAGAAACAATACCACAACAGTTAAAAGGTGCATATAGTCAGGCTCTTACTACCGTTCAGCAGCTTCCAGTTCCTATAAGGGATGCAGTGGCCAGTGGACTGAGAGTTCCTCTGAGTAAGCATTCCAATCTTTTTCAATTTTTCCTTAAGATGATTTAGATGAGAACAATATAGACTGTTAATGTACATAATTGCACAAGAAAAGCTTAAATGATCGCAAAAAACCTAGTTGAAATCTAATCTGGGCCATAATTATGAGAAATAATTGCTTGCGTATGTTTTTCTGAATGAAAATTGTAGCCCCAAGCCCATATGATCTTCATGGATGCTAGGTATTACTGTCACTTTTGCCACCAGTGAAATGTCTCCTTTTGCAGACTTTCACAGTAATAGTTCCAAAGACTTGCACTGAAGTATCTGAAAAGTATTGGAAATGACAGTTTTTTTTTTTTTTTCCATTTTCTTGTGGCTCAGCTCTTAATATTTAAATTGTAGATAGAAAGTTAATGTGCTGTGATTAAATAGTCTTTGAAGGCACTCACTAGAGTTGTTATTGCTATGATGTACTTTTTTCTTTTTTGGTGGAGAAAGTTGATTATTTGGAAATGGGATTCTTTCTTTTGAGACCAAAGAACATGAGAATTTAAAAATGCTAAACTGCATCTCAATATGGCCAGTGCGCTTCTTATTAGAGGTTGGTCATGGATGTACAACCTGCCTTTTTCTAAAACTCTAACAAGGTTATGGAAAGATGGTTTGGCTCTCTTTCTGCTGCAGCATAAGAAGGCCAGATATGCTTTTCACAGTAATAGTTCCAAAGACTTGCACTGAAGTATCTGAAAAGTATTGGAAATGACAGTTTTTTTTTTTCCATTTTCTTGTGGCTCAGCTCTTAATATTTAATTGTAGATAGAAAGTTAATGTGCTGTGATTAAATAGCCTTTGAAGGCACTCACTAGAGTTGTTATTGCTATGATGTACTTTTTTCTTTTTTGGTGGAGAAAGTTGATTATTTGGAAATGGGATTCTTTCTTTTGAGACCAAAGAACATGAGAATTTAAAAATGCTAAACTGCATCTCAATATGGCCAGTGCGCTTCTTATTAGAGGTTGGTCATGGATGTACAACCTGCCTTTTTCTAAAACTCTAACAAGGTTATGGAAAGATGGTTTGGCTCTCTTTCTGCTGCAGCATAAGAAGGCCAGATATGCTGATGATGCATACATGTTTATTTGGATTTATGTGGATATTCAATAAATAGTGAATCCAATTGGTTAATTCGGTCCATGTAGTGGAGAAACATGACCAGCTAATTGTGATGGCTACTGGTCATTTAATAACCTTCTGTTAGATTAAAACAAAGAAAGCAAGCTAAAAGACTGGTTATGTCATGAATCATGAGTTATCGTCCCTCTTCTTTTCTTTTGTCTTTTTCTTTTTTAAGTTTCCTTGGATAATATAGAGTTACCACCCCTCATTTGACCTCATTCGGGGAACCTTTGGATATTGCCCAGTCCAGTAGTTGAACTTTTGGCTGGTTGATGTGGGTAGGAAATGTTGTTTCGGGCAAGTTCATCCATTTCTTAAGTGGAATATGTTCTTGGAGTTTACTTGTAGCGCATTCAGTTGTTTGAGGACATCAAAAGGTGGGAAAACACAACTGAGTTAGAGATGTTCGAGTAATTGTTTTTCTGAATCTCAACATCTAGCTTGTTTCTCATCTCTTTTCTTTCCATTTCAGTAACATGTTTCTTTCTGGTTTCTGTTGTAAAATTAATGTAACACAAATTTCATAAGGTGATTTTTAAATGCTTTTTCCTTTGAGGGACACTAGTTTTCAGATTTTGCAATACAAAGTCAAATAAAGGATGTTGTAAACTCCCCCCCTCCCCTTCTCCAAAGCATAGCATCCTGTTCGTTTGTATACTTCAACAAATAGGCTACACCTACTACTCATTAATAAAATTGTTACTTATGAGCAAAGACAGGTATCAATGCATTTGCAATGGAATCATTGCCTAAATTGATGGTAAAGAATCAGTTCCATGAAAGAATGCTGTACCATTTTGTCATCGCACTTGACTTTGGAAGCAGTTTTGCCAGTTGCTCTTGCCCCATCATGGATGATTAATATGTTAAGGGTGAAATAGAATAGGGAAGGAAGCAATAAAGTTCATGATTAAGGATAAATTATATAGCTTTTCTGTTTGATATTCAAATCTTTTATGAATCTGAGCTGAAGTTTCTTTGTATTTCAAGGTGGGACATTCCAGAGACTGTTCATGATATCTTATCTTGATGAAGAGATCCTTGTAAGTTTATATCTGTCCTTTTTCTTTGTTTCTTTTGAATTTAAAATTATCTTTTCACTTTTTGGCCTTCAGATTGTTTTCTACATAATTCATTGTACAGTTGACTATAACATAATGAGCTCACCATGTAGATATAATTAGCAATTGATGCACTGACCAAAGGTTTGCAATGATCATTTCATGCCTTGAGAAAAATGGAATTATACCATTGATATCTTTTATTTTGACGAACCAATGAATCAAGTATATTGGGGTATTTGAAAAGAAAATGGATCTTTTGTTGTAACCCAACTGTAGCATATCCCTACTTGCATCATCTTTTGTATTTTAGTTTTGTCAGTTGCCATCTGTTGTTATGACTTATTCTTCATTATCTTCATTCACTTCCCAACCAACCTCGGGCTCCTTTTGTAAAATTTCATATGAACTATACTATTCCACTGTATATTTGTAGAATTGTAGTCACTGTTCTTGTTCATACCATCACAAAAGGTCTCAATCTGTTGGACATAATTGTGATTGGTATGCTGATAATTTTGCAATGTCACAACTTAAAATTAGTTTGCTAAACTTCCCATTCTTGTCATGTGAGCTTAGATACTAGACTAAGAAGGTTATAATTTGCCCCCAAGAACCTTCAGTTTCTGTTTCTTGTTGTAAGGTAGAAGCAATTCTTAAGATTTGAAGTTTGCTATAGATTTATAGTATTAATTGACTATTAGGCCTCTGCTGTTAATAACTTTAGTATATGATAAATTAATGTGATAAGATTGTTGAATTAACAATAACGATGAAGTGAATGATGCTTTCTGCTTTCCTTAATATCAAATCTGTAATGCAGAATGGCACAGGTGCCAATTTAACACAAGTAGCTGGTGCCTAAGTTTGCGAATGAATTTCAGACACACATAAAAATGATCTATGGATCCTGAAAGGTTTTAGGCCCTAGAATGCAATAGGCTTTTGAGGTAACTGGGTGAATTCCAGTAGAGGGTTTTGAATTCTTATGTTGGTTGATGCAGATAATAAGGGATACTGCTGGAATACCCGAAGTTCTTACCAGGTTGGATACACCCTCTTCTAGCATGGTGGAAACTAACACCGACTATGTGAGTTAGGGAGTCATATACATGTGTTGGAACTGTGTCTTTTGTTTTTATTTCTAATAAAGTTTTTGTTGCAATAAAATTACAAGGGAAGATTAAGCGTTGTAATTCAATCTAATGTAGTCATCTCTTTTTTAATTTGTTCAAAATTCCATTATCGTATAGGTAAATTTAAAGGCAAATATTGTACCAAATTCTTGAATACTACAAGGAAATTCATACATACACTTTATAATTCACATGATTTTTTTTTTAATTTATTGTTATTATTCATTCTTTGAATTGGAAATTTTTAATTTTATATGTAAGTATCAACATAAACTAATTCTAATAAGAAAATTTTAATAAGTAAATACTTTTTATTATATTTGCCCACAATAATTTCAGGCTCAATATTTTTCAAGTCATGTGGGCGTATTTCGTCGATCCAATTCACACTTGATTTTTATCATGCGTAATGTCTCTTTTTAGATTCAAGAAAAAATATCCTGGGAGCAAATTTCAGTACTTAATTAAGCAAATTTTTTACTATAATATAAATAACACTGTATAAATTAGTTAGAGGTTGATGCAAAGAACATGTTTACATTTTTTTTTTTAAATTATGATGCTTACTTGATTAATAGTAATAAGCTAATTCAATTTATTTATATAATTATTCTTAAAAAATAATATTTTAATTTTTTTGAAATTTAAATTTCTTATATCAAAAGAAATTTAAATTTTATCACATGTAATATTTTTCTATATCAGTTTTGACCTCATTTATATAAAAAAAAATAATGTATAAATTAATTAAAGTACAAAGTATGAACATTTTTTAACAAAAAAAAAAAAAAAAAACAGCATGCTTGCTTAACTAATAATAATAAATTAATGTTTTGGTGTTATGTTGAATTAAGTCTCGCTGCTTCTCAATTCTTTATGGTTCCAAATTTTCCTGGTTGCCAAACAGGACTTACATAGATTCTTGGGCTTTGTTTTCCTGTCGGAATTGTCCTAAGTTAACTTTAGGTTAGGTTAATGGTCATAATCATGTCGTATTAAGATTAAAGTATATAATAAATAAATAGATTAATATAATAAAATTAATTATTATGTTAAACTTTTTAACACAAATATAATACGATTATTATAGATCCAAGTACAAGAGAAGTAACTGAGGGAATTGCTACCTCTTTCGGGTAAATGTGTCCATAATTAGTGGGATACTTGGTACGAATAAAATACTAACCAAACGACATGGCGGCGCACATTTTCATCAAGTTGCTTTTTTATATTTATAAAATTATTTTCATGGTTTAAATTTTAATAAATTTGGTCCCCTTTTATTTTTCTTTATAAGAAAGTAGTAATAAAGATTCAAAATCATCTAATCTTTTTTTTTTTTTTTGAGAAAATCTAATCCTATATCTTAATCCTTTTAACTTTGTAGTATTTGACGAAACCAATTACCCTCTCCACAAATATATTAGCAATTTAAACCTCCTTTGAGAGTGATGTTTCCAGCTAGGTCATCTAGCTGCTTCAATTCTCCCATCACCGTTGGCTACGTGGAAAATGGAAAATCTATATTTTATGTATCATTTGAATAGTTCATAAAATTATTATTTCATTATTATTTGTTTTAAAGGTTTAATTTCCAAACAACATCATAACATATAAAAAAAATTTTTATCGAATATTGAAATGAACCATTAGTGATTCGAGATTAAAAAAATACATAAACATAAAAAAAAAAAAAAAAATTGTTTGGTTAAAAAACAAAAATAAAAATGATAATTTTTAACAATAAAAGAATAATCATAAATTTTATTTATATTGATATGGTTTTTCATCTGACCATCAACAGAATTCTCTATTTAATATTGAAAAAGAAGAGAAGCCAAATGTGATTTTGAAATTTAGCTATTGATTAAACATGGCAAGTGGCATACTTGACTTGAGTAATTAGGATTTTTTTTTGGTTCTAAGATCTAAAGCAAGTGGCTCAAATACAAAGTACATGATCATATGGTAGAATTTTAATATTCTAACAATCAGTTAAAATTCGAAATTGAAGTAAAATCATTGTATCTGTAATCGAAAATATGTTCTCATTTTCACCACAATTTGTACTTGTAGTCCACCGTTGATTTTTCCGTCGGCAGGGAAATCAGTAAAGATTTGAGATGTCATAAATCTGACTTTTTTGTCCTTTTAAAGCTAAAAAATATGCTAACCTTCTTGATATCAACACAATGATTTAGTATATATGTCATTTACCGACTACCCCAATTGTTATTTGTTTAAAATATAAATCGAAGAAAAAGAGAAAAAAAATAATAATGTCTTTTATTTTTTGATTTAATGATAAAAAACTTTTTAAAAAAATATTAAAATTTGAGTTCGAATCAAATCAATTATTTTTTTATGTAATAAAACGTTATCATTTTTTGAATTAAAATAATAATAATAATAATAATTGTTAATATATAACAACTTGAGCTTGATAAGGTTTGGGTAAAAATCATAAATTTTGATTTATGATAATATTTATTTTAAAAAAAGAAGAAACAATTAGGATTATTGTAATTTGCAAAGAAATTATGCTGCTCCATAGTTTCAGAGATAAGCCGGTGGTTTAGACCTCAAAATTTTCATCTGCTTAGCTTTCCAATTTTCTATTAGGCAAATTAGTCGGTTCTATGCACCGTCCAAAGTAAATTAATATTGCAATTTGCTAATAAAGTTTACCAAAAATGTTGACTTAATTTTAAGGTGCCTAAAGTCAAATATCAATGCTAACCTTTGGCTCCAAATCTCCAATGTCGGGTTTCCTTTAGCAGCTTAGGTAAAGCTATGCATTACAACTGAAATTTGCACATATTATTATTTTTTTTTTTTACAAAAAAAATTGTAGCGAACCTCATTAAAATAAAAAAATGTTATAAATATTAAATTTTAAATTTGTTAAAATCAAATTTTAAAAATAATTACATAAAGCAACCGAAAATTATATCCTTAATTTGAGTGTTTCCATATTGATCTATTTCCCAGGGTGATTTCTACTTTAAGAAATATTCCTGTCTGTGTTGAAAAGTTAAATACATGATTAGAAACCATATATATTCCTTCTGTTTCCAGCACTTTAATTAAATTTAACAATATTCTCTGGATAATCTGTCTGACAAAATGAAAAAAAAAAAAAACAAAATTAAGATCTGCCTTCTTAGCGAGCCTACTTACTGAACAGTACCAACTGTTTGATTCTTGTAATCTTATTATAAAAGAAAAGATTCATGGAATTTTGTCTTCTTTTCACCTGGCTAGCTAGCTAGAATTCACCCATTTTCCTCTCTAACAAGGTAAATTAAAGGCTTAAATACAGAAAACACTTTAACAAAAATTAAACAATTATCCAAGTCTTTATCATTTTACTGTAATCGATTAAATTTTTAAATATTTATTTTTAACTAATTGAATCTTTAAATAATTATTTTCATCTAATTAAACTCTTAAATATTTATTTTCACCCAATTAAACTTTTAATTGGATAAAAATGAATGTTGGCCTTTAGTTAATTTTTGTTTGATAAAAACTTAATCGATGAAATTAGACGGTTGAGGACTTTTTCTATACTTATCCCTAAATTAAAATAGACCTATGTTAGGAGTTAATTAAGTTGATATTGAACATTTTATCTATTCATGATTTTCATGTAAAAAAATTAACTAGAAATTTTCATTTACTATTAAAGAGATTTTATTTGCATTTCATCTTAATTTCAACTTGGAAAAGACAAAAATTGGAAAAATCAAGCTTATATTAGAATTATTTTTTATAAAAGGAATTTATATATTAAAATGGTTAGAAAAGGTGGGATTACATCCATTAACCATTATATAAGTTGCCATATTAAGTTAAAAAAAATTTTTAAAAAAATCTCATCATCAATTCAAAAGCAAGGTTTTCTCAAATTTGTGATGCTTATGAGATATGCATCAACTTCTTGCTAACATCATAAGATTAATGGGGAGGCGACTTGAAGGGATAAAATCATTTGTTAAAATAATTATAAATTAAAGAGAGTCTTACAAGAAAAGTAAGACATTTATCAAATCAAATAACATGATATAGTTTTGCACTTTCATGTTTGGTCTGCCAAACTGCTATTTGGGAAGAAGAAAACACCCATTTTAGATAAGACAAAAAACCCATTGCACATTCCAAATGAAAAGAAACAAACTCCTTCTTAATTAAATTTAAATGAATTTAATTTAGAAAAGAAAAAGACATAACACAAATTATAAATGGAAGATGTTTTCAGTTGCTTCTATTACATCCAAATGGAAAATTTAAGAAAGAACAAATTTCTTTGCAAAAGTAGAAATCTCAAAGTCACATGAAATTAAGTTAATTTCTTATATATTTACGGTGGAGATAATCAGATTAGAGAGAGACAAACGGATTCATAAAATTCAGTTAAAACTATATGTAAAATCCCACTCCAAAACATCTTCAACGATCAAACATTCAATTTTAAAATTAAAGAAGGAAAAAATTAAAACCCCAATTTAAAGAATCAATTTATGCAAGTTCAGCTTCTTCAAATCCATGCATGTGAGAAGCATCCAAAGGAAGCAAAGGAAATTCACCAAGTTCCTGAATAAATCCATCCAAATCTCCAAAACCACTTAAGAAACCACCTGAATTCTCACCAATACTATTCCACATACCTTCTTCTTCCTTGATCCTTTCTCTTGTTTCCCAGCCTGCAAGAAACCCAGTTCTCAGCTCCATTTTCTTGGCCACAGCTGCTGCTGCCACTGGTTTGTCGCAAAAACGAGTGATCCTTGGCTCTTGAATATGATCTCTTCTAGCAATTCTTGGTTTCTTTTTGCAACCCTTTTCTTGAGATGGTTTTCCAGTGAGTCTTTGCACCAGTTCTCTGAAGTTTGCTACGTCAGTCTTGATGATCTCTGGAGCAAATATGTGAATTATGCTTATCTTTGGCTTTGCCTTTGATATTGTTCGTGAATCCTTGCGAATGGATAGTGCTGACGGTGGCGTTGAAGAAGGCATTCTGGATTGATTCCTGATCGTGAATTTCTCCATGGAGAAACGTTTGAGACAAAGAAATAGAAAAAGGTGGGGGGATTTGGTAAATTTGTTTAGAGAAATGAAAGGGAAGGCTTATATAGCAGTGAAAGTGATACGAAACATAATTGTTTAAAGGTGAAAACTTAAAAAAAAAAAAAAATGAAAAACCAAGTTGTCTGTTGGGACTAAGGACCGGATGAAGTCCTATCTGACAAAATGGAAAATATTACTAAGAAAAAGAATGGTATAATTTTGTTACTCATGTCATTCTTTTTATTCAAATCATAGCACATAATTACATTATTAAAAAATTAATAATTTATTATACATCACATGTATGATCAGTTTGTTGAAATAATTTGATTACTTGATATAATTTGAATAAAAGAGATATAAATTGATATAGAATAATCATTTTGTACAATATTTTTGGAGAAGTTTTTGTTTTGAAAAATCATTTTTGGAGAAAGTTAAATGGTATTAGCTTATTACAAATCATTATATGTTTTATGTGTATCAAAATATGCATTTTTCTCACATAGAGAAGATTGAACATTTTTTTTTTTTTACAAAAAAAAAAAAAAAAACATATTGTTTCTTATGTCCTATATTTGCAACAATCAAACCATCCTCTCTATTTTGAGAACATTTATATATGTATATTGGCTTGATTTAATATATATGTACAAAGGGTTGTTTCTTCTACTTGTTAGATTAATATTCATGATTCAAAGTAGATTAATCAAAGGGAATTAATTCTCTTTTTTTTTGTCATTCAAAAGGGGACAGAGCCTACATTAAGAGGGAGAAAGAAGGTTGGGGTTCGAACCCCGACCTTAATGTCTTCTTTAAAATTGACGACATCTAAATGTAAACAATTATGTAAGACTCATTTACAAGAACCATATAAGAAATATATAGAAAATTCTTCAAATATCACGGAGATTTGATTTATGGAACCATTTAGAAAAATCATGTATGAATTGTTTATTGAGTTTAATTCAAGTGATAAAGGTGAAATATGTGAAGATAAAAATCCTAAGTTTGAGCTATAATTCACTCTTTATATATATATAAAATAAAGTATATGATACATTTTTCACTTGCTAAACGAAGATGTTCAAGTAAAATCCCAAAACCTAGCTACATCAATAGAAATTAAAAACCTTTGAATTTTGATTCCCTAAAAAGAGGAAAACTACATAGAATAAAAACACTCGTTGTAAGAGATAATATTAATTTGCATGTTTGTAAATAAATCTATTTAAGAGTTAGTCTATTCATCTAAATCCGAAAATTCGTTCAAATTTTGAAAGGATTTTAATAAAAAAATTTGATCATTAAATTATAGGAAGAATATCTTACTTTTTGCCAAGTGACGATTCCACAACGTACTACTTACACACGAATCCACCTAGTTGGAATAAAAACCAATGTCATGACTTGCATAGACGACAGCCGTACATATACTAAAAACATTACACACACTAATTAAATTATCAATTTTGAAAATGCCACTACTCCCTTTGCTTTTTTTTTTTTCTTTTATAATCTTTCTTTGTGCCTTCCAATATTTCTAATTTTGTATTTCCTCTACTTAATCTTTTTGATTCTTCAATTTTGATCACAACTAATTCGATTCTATTGTCCTCTGATTTTGTGAGGAAATTAATTAAACTTTAAATTAGCCAAGACCAAAATTTAGGAGGAAATTATTCCTCAATATTAGCAATTAGTTGAATTAAAAAAATCAGTCCAAAAATCAAAACAAAGCTCACAATGAATTAGGTATTGTTGGTAGTTTGGACAAATAACTAACAATAATATCAATTATATTTAGGGAAAAAATTTGGGTACAATGCTTCCACCTATATCAAGTTGACTACAAACTTTAGTAATGTTTAAAAATCATATATATATATATATATATATTATTACAATATACATAGTTACCAAATAATATTTATTGATGTGGACATTTACCTGAACAACTTCTTTTTTTGACATGTAAGATTAATTTTTAAAACTTCTCATTATAATAACACATAAAATATTTATAAAACATATATTTCAAAATTTAGTAAATTATCTAAAATTTTTAAAATTTAATCAAAAACCAATTTAAATTCCAATGAAATTCTTTTCTTTTATACATCACATCATCTCATCTTAATTTAAAACTAATTTTAAAATAATTTATCTTTAAAACAATGATAAAATAACAAAAGCAAACCATATCCATATCCACAGTGAAAACTTGAGGAAAAGCCCACCGACCACTACTCAAATCCTTGATATACGTTTGATCCTCAATGTAAAATTGCCTGCGAACATCACTACCTTGATAATGTGTTACTTTATAATTCAGCCATTACATTAATTTTTTTTTTACTTTCCTACCTAAAATGAATAGGTAGAAAAAATGGAGAAAAACATTGAATATTAGTAAATGATTACTTCATTATACTGCTCAACATTTCTCTCTAAATTCAATCAATTATTAGAAAAGCCAGTTGAGTAACCAACTATTTTTTAATGCTTAGGATTATAACTCAAAAGTAGAGCTCTTTACAATTAAGATAGGATTAGATAAACATCTACAAATTGGAAAAAATGATTCGGTCCGCCAATGAGAAGGGGATCAAATGAATGATGCCTTTAGCCATAAAACAACTCTAGCTTCATCCAAGTTAATCTATGCATTAGTTTCATCCACACTTGGTGAAAGGACTTTTGTTTCTGTGGAGTCTATTTCCATAGTGGAGACATCAATACTTTCAGCCTTAGGCTGTTGAGAAGCTTTAGCATCATCATCTTCCCATTGTGGTGAAAGAGCTTTTGTTTCTAGTTTGACGTATCTAACCTACAAACTCATATTGCAAACAAGTGTGGTTAAACGGTTAATTGGTGTAGCAAAATGAGATTGAATTTTTTTAGTTCTTAATCTACGTCTGTTGAACATCTATTCTCTTAATCAATTCACTCAATCAGGTAATATTTTTTATCTTTCAACTCTTTATTTCTTCAGTATTTAGAGTATAAATTCAGTACAAAAATCTCAAATATTTTTATTTACTTATTTTAGTCCATAATCAGATGTTATCATGTGCAGGCTAGTAAAAGAATCATAAAAAAAGAGCTGTAAAATTTGGCTCGTTGGTTTTCAAAGAAGTTGATACCTTTATTCTGAATTTCCAAGGGACTTTTGTCTTTTTTTTCTCTTGATTTTAGCTTCTAGGTATTTCTTAAACTTTTTAAAATTTTTAGCTTCTGGGCAAAGAATGGTTGTGAAGACTTTCTTTTAAGTACCCACCTCTTGGACGTTTTGTTATCAATAACATGCGCCAAACTGTGGTTATTGGTGTCATCAAGATTGTTGAAAAGAAAGACCAATCTAGTGCCAAGGTCACCAAGTCTACTACCAAGAAAGATATAAAGAAAATGAGATAGCATTTGGGAAGGATTTATCACAGCTAGGATAGTTGTATTGATTTTGGTAATATTTTTATTTAGTATTTATATGACAGTTTGGCAACTCTAGAGATTTAAGTTTATATGATTATTTAAATTTATTATCTTTGACTTATTAATTCGATGAGACTAGATAAATGAATTAGCACCCTGAAAAGTTAATATTTATTAAAACAAATATATCCAGTAATTAACTTGAATTGAAAAATATATGGATAAAAAAACTTCAATAAGCAAGTGCATATATAATAGTCTCACATTATCTTTCTATGAATTACAGTTTTCCTTTGTGCATGCAAAAGATCAATGAGATGACTTTTCTTATCAGGCTCAAAAACAAATTCAATTCTTTGAACGATCAAATATGTATTTGAACCAACCCTCCTAAAAACGAGGAATATGTAATTTGAAAGAAAATCATATGCAAATCTCTATACGCCACCAATTTACAAAAGAATTATGTGATGTAATTCAGATATGTTTTCTTTTTAGTATCGAAAATCTACTATCATCTTAATTGCAAGACTTTTCTTATCATACTCAAAAACAAATTCAACTCTTTGAACGATCAAATATGTACTTGAACCAACCCTTCTAACAACCAAGAATATGTAATTTAAAAGAAAATCATATGCAAATCTCTGTACAGCCACCAATTTACAAAAGAGTTATGAGATGTAATTCAGATATGTTTTCTTTTTAGAATAAAAAATCTACTATCATCTTAATTGCATTTGAAACTTATTTTAACGCAAAATTAAGGCAATTTAACATTTCTATTTCTTTTGGGTTTGTAAATTTTGAAAGTAAAATAACCAACTTTACAGAACTATTTAGTGTATGAGCTAATGCCAAGACCAAAGTCAATTTTACTCTTATTAATTAACAATTTCCTTTTTCTATAAAACGTATAGAGGTAAGCAGGAAGAATTCAAACTAGCACGAATCTAATATATATATTATAACATGCAAAGTTATATAGTAAAAAATTAATATGGACACTTTGGTGGATGATTTCTTTTTTTGACAAATAAAAAAATTTCTAAAATTTCTCTATAAAGACATCTAAGATATTTCCTAATTTTAGGCCATTTATAAAAATATATATAAAATTTTATTTAATTATCTAAAATTTTCAAAATTTAAATGAATGACCACTTTTTATATATTATTTAATTATCCAAATATATATGTATATGGATAATTTTTAAATTAGTTCAAAATCTAATTTAGATATATTATTTTTTAGGATTTTCTAATAATCTAAATAAATATCTTTTTAAATTTAAAATTTTCATAGATATATTATCTCTAAAATTGATTTATAAAATAATTACATTAATAAATTATTTAAATTCAAAACGAAAATCTTATGAAATATTGAAAATTTGAACAAAATTTGAATTCAAAAATATCAAATTTAGAATTTATCTTTCTTTTTAAATTTAGCAAAATTTTAAGAATATATATTTATTTATATGCATTGTAGACACCGATTTTGTCCGGGTCTACTATTTTCAGTTCTTGTTTATTAATAATAATAAAATTGGTTTAATTAAAATTAAAAATTATTTAAAAATTAAAAAAAAAAAATACAAAAAAAGTCTGGTTTGGCAGTGGCCACCCACCCCATTGCCACCTA